GTTGTCCCGGGCCCAGGGTAGGGAGGGGGGCCCAGAACTGGGCCCTCATTAAATTATGGAATAATTGTAAAAAAAATAATAAAAAAATAGGCATATTTGTTGAAAAAATATCTACTATATTTGAGTTACATAAAAGCTTTCTTCCTAATTGTCCTTGAAATAGTGGTCAAGAACCCCCCCCCAAAAAAACAAAAATGGTTTGGCCACTGATCGAAATATGATGTTGTCATTTGATTTGAAGTTCAGTAGGCTAACGTTACGCTCAAAATGTCCGGTCAGCACAAGTCCGGTGCTCAGAAAAGAAAAGAGAAGAAGAAAATAGAGGCCTTCGACATGTCCTAAACAAATGTTTTTAAAAAGGTGGTGACGGTGAAGCTGGAACTAACGTTAGTAAAGTCAACGTAGAGCAAGGTAAGAAACAGCGCAGCCAACGTTTATGAGTGTTGTCAAAGACCCGGTGTTCTGACGATTTGTGCTGCCTTGTCGAAAAATGCTACCGTAGTGCGAATCGATCACAGAATGTCGATTAATATTATGTGAAATACAATTATAATACAATTCTAAGTTATGAGTAGCTACTGTATACTACTGTTTTTATTTTTTAAACGGTGTGAAAAGTAAAAATTATCATCAAATATTGACTTGTCAAAGCACACCTTTCCTTAGTAACTGAAACTTTCAATTATTCTTCTTCAGCTGGCTGACCGTACAAATATTCATATGGTAGTTATCATTTTTTAAAGGGAAATTACTTTATAACACATGAAAATGTGCCTTTTGTTAAAAAAAACTGAGTCTGCACATGCGCATAACCAGTAAGTAGCAAATCTCGATGGGTAGCATGAATCGTCAGAACACCGGCACTTCGGTACCAAGTCGGTACAAATTTCTTTTTAAACGTCACGCCACGGTACCAGGTTTTCTCAAACCCGGGATGCGCGTGCATGCCCAAAGCGCGTTTAGTTGCGTCCTCTTCATAAAAGCGCTGAGACATGGCGACCGGCGGTGCTGCTGCTGTGGTGGCTGTAAATCCACTTGTTGATAAGAAAGGAGGAAAGAGCCACATATGGAAATATTTTGGATATTAGCTCATAATAGCGACGCGGCGCGCTCGTTTTTACAGGCGCGCCTAAAGCCTTGTTTATACTCGACGCGTCCGCAAGAGCGCGAAGGTGCGCACGGCAAAATGACGTAATTGCGGTGTGGGCGGTCGTGCGCGTTGGGTGCGCAAGACCCCATTTCGCCTGGCGGTGTGCACGGCACTTTTTGTAACATCGCGCGCGGCGCCGCATCCGAAGATGAACGACTTCGAGCCGAATCAGGCCGAACTGGTACGTCTGTACCAGCATGTTTATGAATCCATCTATACACAGAGACATTTGCATTGATGGGCGACCATAAAAGCCTCTCATTTTGTGAATAGGAACACATTTGCATTAAGCACCCAGTTTGCACTTGTCTAAAGTAACTGCTTACATTTATAAAATAAGCCTACAATAGCAGAAGCAAGCCCTGCTGTTGAAATTAAGGTTTAAACACTCTTCAATAAGGCTTCAGTTGTTTAACGAGTTTGTACAAGAAAGTACAATACACCTTCTGCATTTATTACTCTTTTAATATGAATCAGCTATTAATAAACTACTAATAAACGGCAAACTACTTCTTCACTGCTGATTCCTGGTGGTTTAGAGGAGAATTACTCCGAGTCGCCCCCTGTCGTTTCACAGAATAGCACAACGGCGAGCGCGTCAAGTATAAACGCCTCGTCCGTTTGGAGAGGTGCGCGCGCAGTCAGCGGAGATTCGCGCTCGTGCGGACGCGTCGAGTATAAACAAGGCTTAAGTTCATTGTTGCATAGCAACGACAGACGCCACGGGAGAGCAAACGCTTGTGGAAAGGAGAAAGCGGTGCGAACTGCTCTCTCCATGATGACGAGGAAGTATTAGCAAAGAATTCATTGATTTCTAGCCCTTGGATTAGCTTTACTACTATTTATGGAGATGAGAAATAAAAAGCCGGCTGAAATGCATCACTGTCATCGGTGAACAGATAATGGGTCAGATCCGAGTCTATTTTTGCTGTGCTGCTCATGCTTAAAAGTGAAAGAACACTTTTGATGTACAAAAAATAAATATGATTTCACACGAAAAGTGCCCAAAATGCACAGATTATGCATGTCTAGTGTGTTTTAACAAGAACTGCAGTAGGCTATGTCAGAAAAGAAAATGAAGACATTTATAGAAAATGTACCCATTTAAACGTGTTTTTATTATTCATTTTAGGTAAAAGTATATGGTGTTTTATAAAAATAAAAAAAATCGTCGGGGGGCCCCATCTAAGATTATCTTGTCCCGGGCCCAGACAAGACTGTCAGCTGGCCTGAATCTGATTATTACATGTTACCTGTAATCCGATACTCCCAACTCTGTTCATTTCAGATGAGATTGAAAACATCAATAGATCAATGTATATTTCAGTCTGAGGTTTTCACAGAGATGAGAGCTACGGTAGAAGTTTGTTGTTTTTGAACATAATCAGAATTATCAAGTAATAAGGGTAAATCGACTTACTTTGGTTAGACTGGTAATTTATTTGTTTAATTATAATATCTTATATTTTAATTCTTAGTTTGAAATTAAAAAAAAAAAAAAAGTACACTGCTTTTTAGACTTTACCTCATGTTACCTCGAGTAGACTTTACTCCCTTATGGTACCCGGACCCCTGCATCACTAGCTATATTTCAGTAATTCATACTGTGATTGTTGTTCTTGATCTACATCAGAAAGTAATTTGATTGCATAATGCACTTTACTTGTAATGCATTACTTTACTCGTTACATCAAACAGTAATCTGATTACGTAATGTGTTACTTGTAATTCATTACTTTACTCTTACATCAAACAGTAATCTGATTACGTAATGTGTTACTTGTAATGCATTACTTTACTCGTTACATCAAACAGTAATCTGATTACGTAATGTGTTACTTGTAATGCATTACTTTACTCGTTACATCAAACAGTAATCTGATTACGTAATGTGTTACTTGTAATTCATTACTTTACTCTTACATCAAAATAGTATTCTGATTATCTGATGTACATTACTTGTAATTCATTACTTGTTACATTAAAAAGTAATCTGATTACGTAATGCACATTACCTTTAATTAATTTCTTTACTTGTTACATCAAAAAGTAATCTGATTAATGTAAGTTACTTGTAATGCTTTACTTTACCCGTTACATCAAAAAGTAATCTGATTATGTAATTCATGTTACTTGTAATACGTAACTTTACACGTTACGTCAAAAAGTAATCTGATTACGTAATGCATGTTACTTGTAATCCGTTACTTTACACGTTACGTCAAAAAGTAATCTGATTACGTTATGCATGTTACTTGTAATACTTGTAATCCATTGCTTTACACATTGCATCAAAAAGTAATCTTATTGCGTAATGCATGTAACTTTTATTGCGTTACTTTACTCGTTACGTCGAAAAGTAATCTGATTATTACATGTTACCTGTAATCCGATACTCCCAACTCTGTTCATTTCAGATGAGATTGAAAACATCAATAGATCAATGTATATTTCAGTCTGAGGTTTTCACAGAGATGAGAGCTACGGTAGAAGTTTGTCGTTTTTGGACATAATCAGAATTATCAAGTAATAAGGGTAAATCGACTTACTTTGGTTAGACTGGTAATTTATTTGTTTAATTATAATATCTTATATTTTAATTCTTAGTTTGAAATTTAAAAAAAAAAAATGTACACTGCTTTTTAGACTTTACCTCATGTTACCTCGAGTAGACTTTACTCCCTTATGGTACCCGGACCCCAGTTTAAAAACCTCGGCTTTAGATTATTAAAATGTTCTTCACTCTAAGAAAAAATGGTTCTTTTAAAAACATATCACTGAAAGGTTAAAAAATTGCACACACAAAAAAAATAGCCGGCATCGCTGTGAAAAACACTCTTTGGAAGCTTTATTTTATGAGTGAAGAGCTGCTCTTAATGTTCCTAAATGAAACATCTTCATCATTGGGAAGCAAGAACTGAGCTTTACTCCATCAGACTGAGTTTTGCTGAAAGACTCTTATTTCAGTAACACTAAACCACAGCCTGAATGTTCTAGTGTAACGAGAAGAGAAGAGACGGGTCAGGTTAAATAACGCGTCACGTACATGCAGTGCACACAGATAGAGCAGGGGTTCCTCTAGTAAAACATTCTGGTTAAATTAAGTCAAGAAATGGATACAAGTGCTATAATGAGATTTTTCTAGAAGATGTTTAAAGCTTGAAGGATTATCAGAGGAACTGTTTAAGGTAACATGAGAGGTTTGTCAGTTCTGTTGTGCTGGTATTTTTTTACTTCACCTGCTGTAAACTGGTGTTTGACCACATGCATTTGTGTTTTTGTATGTATATGTTTTCCCAGTCAGAATGCTGAAAACGGAGACGAGGAGGAAGGAAACAAAATGACGAGGCCTGACGCTTTCATCTCGCTGGACGCTGAGGGTGATGTCTCTGCAAGAAGAAGAAAAACAACCCTCGTTCGGTTAGAGATGCTCTTCTTCTTGTTTTCCAGCACTAATATCTAAACATTCTTAAATCAAGATACATTTACTGGAGAAGAAGCAAAATGAATGAAGATAACAAGACTTGTTAAATGAAAAATGCATAATAATTAAGCAAATTTATGTTTAAAACAAGAACAAATGGGGTCAGAAAAAAATAATCTTTGAATTAAGATTATTTTTCTGACTCCATTGGCTGATATTTGTTCTTGTTTTAAGCTCAAACTCACGTCATTAAAAAAAAAAAAATTTGGATTCTCCAGTATCTTAATTTAAGAATGTTTAGATATTTGTGCTGGAAAACATAAATATCTCAAAGTTTGTTTTTCAGTGTAAATATGGTTTTAAATAAGTCTAATGCGTTCACACAACAGCTTCACTCCAGATGTGTCTGTGCTTCTCTTGATTCAGATCCAAAACACTTGATCCTTCACTTCTCCTGCAAGTCCAGAGTGACTCTGAATCCAAGTGTGAACGCAGAAAACCGCAGTCCTGTCATGTGCGTCTGTGTTCCTCCACTGTTCATCACTGTTTACATGGACAATTTTATTTACAATGTTAACTGTGATTTTCAATCCACAAGAAAAGGTTCTATATGGAGCCTTAAAGGAGTAGTTCACTTTTGAAAAAACTTTTGCTGATAATTTACTCACCCCCATGTCATCCAAGATGTCCATGTCTTTCTTTCCTCAGTCGAAAAGAAATTACGGTTTTTGATGAAAACATTCCAGGACTTAAATGGGAACCATACGGTCCAAGGTCCTAAATACAGTTAATAACAGTTTCAGATGCAGCTTAAAATGTCTTTAAACGACACCAGACGATGAATAAGGGTCTTATCATGCGAAACGATCGCTCATTTAAAAAAAAAAAAAAAAACGTTTAAGTTTTATAAGCTCACATGCTCGCCTTTCTCTGTTCTGTGTAACTCTCCTGTTCGAACTCGTTCATCAAAATGAACAAATCTTTTTTCGAGTCATTTGATTCATTTAACGACCGAAATGAACGAATTGACTCGGAAAAAGATTTGTTCATTTTGATGAACGAGTTCGAACAGGAGAGTTACACAGAACAGAGAAAGGCGAGCATGTGAGCTTATAAAACTTAAACGTTGTTATTTATTTTTTAAATGAGCGATCGTTTCGCATGATAAGACCCTTATTCATCGACTGGTGTCGTTTAAAGACATTTTAAGCTGCATCTGAAACTGTTATTAACTGTATTTTGGACCTTGGACCATATGGTTCCCATTTAAGTCCATTATATGGAGAAAAATCCTGGAATGTTTTCATCAAAAACCGTAATTTCTTTTCGACTGAGGAAAGAAAGACATGGACATCTTGGATGACATGGGGGTGAGTAAATTATCAGCAAAAGTTTTTTCAAAAGTGAACTAATCCTTTAAGCTTTCGTCAGGCGCTTCACAAATAAATTCCATCATGGGATCATTTTATGGATTTAGTTTTGATTATTTAATTTTGTTTTTATTCATTTTTGTTTTTCATTTACTTTGATGAATTTATAAATTCATAAACATACTTCATATCTAGAAAATATTAAAATAACCTGTTAAACATGAATATATTATGCAAGATTTCTCCGTGGCGTAAATGGTTCTTTAAAACTGAGTCAAGAACCCTAGAGCTCCATATAGAACCCGATTCAACCGTTTGTGTTGTGTTTCAGTCTCTGCGCACTAATTCCCAGTACCACAAAGTTTTTAAAGACATAAGCGAAGATGAGCATCTGAGACAGAGTACGTACTCTCAGTTTGATGTTTGACAATGATTATTTCACTTCTAATGAGCACACGACGCAGCTTTGATTCGTGTACTCCTGCGTGGTGTGCCAGGTTACACGTGCGCCCTGCAGAAGGACATGCTGTACCAGGGGAGGCTGTTCGTGTCCGACAACTGGATCTGTTTCCATTCCAAAGTGTTCGGAAAAGACACTAAGGTAAAACCTGAAACTGTGAGGTCAGTAAGAGTCTCTTCTGCTCACCAAAGCTGCATTTATTTGATCAAAAATACAGTAAAAACAATAAAATATTATTCCAATGTAAAACAGCTGTGTTGATGTTTTTAAAAGAAGTCTCTTCTGCTCACCAAAGCTGTTTTTACTGTATTTTTGATCAAATAAATGCAGTGAAATATTATTATAATGTAAATCAGCTGTTCTCTGTGTGAATATACAGTAAAGTGTAATTTATTCCTGTGATTTTCAGCATCATTACTCCAGTCTTCAGTGTCACATGATCCTTCAGAAATCACTCTAATATTATGATCTGATGCTCAAGACACATTTATGATTATTATCAGTGTTTATATTTTGTGATTTTTTTTTTGATGAATTGAAAGTTCAAAAGAACAGCGTTTATTTGAAATAGAATCTTTTGTAACATTATAAATGTCTTTACTGTCACTTTTGATCAATTTAATGTGTCGTTGATGAATAAAAGTATTCATTTATTTTAAAAAACTTTTACTGACCCCAAACTTTTGAACTGAAGTGTATTTTATATTATATCCCAGCGAACAGGAGATGTTCTCAGAACGTGGCAGGATTCTCTCAAAGTTATGAACTAACGTTCTTCAAGTGACGTCGATATAATGTTTGCTTAAGGTCTTTAATAAACAAAAAAAGCCTTATTTATACATCGTTCATTTAAACATTTCAGTTGGATGTTCCTCTAACGTTTTTTAAATGTTACTTGTTTCAGAGAACATTCAAAAGTAACACTCCCAATGTTTGAAGAATGATACAATGTAATGTTTCCTTAATGTTCAACCAAGAAAAAAATGTTTTGACATTAATAATAAAGTTTTTATTATTTAATGGGAACGTCAGCAAAATGTTCTTAAAGCATATTTTTATTAGCTGTTTTTCATCATATTGTTTTTTCCTTCAGATTGCGATTCCAGTGGCTTCAGTGACCGTCATCAAGAAAACGAAGACGGCCATCTTGGTGCCGAACGCACTGGATATTTCGTCAGCACACGAGCGGGTAAAAGAGTTTGGCTTTCATGTGAGTCTGCTGGTGATTGTGGCGGTTTTACTAATCACTGTTATTGTGATTTTTCCAGCATGTGTTTGTTTCGTTTCTGTCTCGAGACACGACATACAAAGTTTTGATGTCCGTGTGCCCTCAATTGGTTGTAAGTTCTTCAGTCACACACATTTAATTGAGTTCAGCTGAATCGTATAGTTTCTGATGAATGAATGTGTCTCGTCTGCAGGAGAAGAGTCCTGGAATCAGTCAGAACGTCCTGAGAGCAGATCCGGCGTCTCTGCCCACGGTAAGACCTTTCCGGGCCCTAGTCAGCTTCATTTATACAGCGCTTTTATCAATATAGATTGTTTCAAAGCAGCTTTACAGTGATAATAGGAGATTACAGTAACAGAGATTGTTTAGGCTTTACAGCAGCTCTAGAATAAAGTTATTGTCCAGATAAAGTTAGTTTTTGATTGATTCACTTCCGTTGCAAAGATCTTTAGTTATTAACTTAGGGGCCGCTAACACGACACCGCTCTAACAGAAAACCCTTGACGCGCTCCGGCCGTTCATTCACACATCAACAGTGTTTGGGGCTCGAGAACGCAAACCTTGAAACAGGATCAAAGGTGCAAGCGTTGAATAATTTAGAAAAAAAAGACATCTCCGCGCAAACTACAAAATTGCGAATATGTGAAAACATGCGTATTACGTGTTTCGTCTATAGGTATGCGCATTTGAATATAAATGTGTGCAAGCAAGTAGTCTTTCTCTACAAATTATACCCTATCATAGATCCGGTCCAAAATCCCCAGAGTTAAATTAACTCTGCTCTGAGTACATATGGTCCCACTCTAAAAAGTGTTAAAGTCACTCTGACTCAGAGTTAAAGTTAAAGAGATAATTAAGTGATGATTGAGCATAAATGATGAACACCTGCTATTAACAATCACTGATGGAAAGAGAAACAACAAGAACAGAAAAAAAAGAGCGCCGACCATTTTTCCAACTAGCAAAAGTGGATTTGAACGCCCTAAGTGCACTTGCGCCGTGCGCTTTAGACCATGAGCTTAGATCGTTAAAATAGGGCCCTTCAATTCATTCCGTCATCCATCCGTTTTGCTCCGGGATATTCAGACGCTGCATGATGTCTGTGCGCAGGACTTCCCTGCGGATCTGTCGGATGTTGACTCTCCGGTCGGACCGACGGCTCAGCTTGTGGACGACAGCAGCAGCTCCGACTGTCCAGAGTCACCGGCATTCGTGAAAACACAGAGTGAGTATTTCAGTGACGCTCAAGGGCCTCATTTATAACCGTAGTGTCACACAAAACAGGCCCTGAAAGAGCCGTACGCCACTTCTCACGCATACGCTGTGATTTATTAAAACAAACTTGACGGGAGAATGTGTAAGTACATCTGTAAGTAATCGTTAATCTTTTAATCTTCATTATGAGTCCTAATCATAAATACAGTGCATGTTCACAATAACAGTTTAAATATATAAAAGAATGATTTCAACAATGTTTTACATCTGATATACATATTTAGATTAAATATGCCATTCTCATTAATGGAGTTAAGCACTTCAATTACATGAAACAAATTTTTTTCATAATCTAATAAATATAAATATTAGTAGTGGATGCGATGCTGTGTTTTAATGTTTGCTGAGCGCATGATAACAGCAGAACTCGTGGTCTGAGGAAATATTTTTACTCTTTATTAACATCCCTTTGTGAAAGAGAAGTACATTTTAGTAAAGAAATACTATACTTATGTGCGAACTAAATGTAAGGTTTTCAGACACTTAATTGCATGTTATTTACAGTTAAATGAAAATGTATTTAAATGTATATTCAGTGCAGTCAGTATGACGTAAGTTCATCTTTATATGTCACTTCATAATTACTTCTATTGTCTTTGAAATGTACTGCAAAAAAATGACTTTCTTCCTTAGTATATCACGATTTCCTTTAGTATGTTAGTCAACACATCAAAATAAGTGCACTTCTTTAAAGCATGTCAAAAGATTATAAAACATAATGACTGTACTTTACAGTAAAACTTTATAAACTTGACATTTTAAAAACTGCACTTTTTGTGTTTAGAAACATAGTCTTTAAGTGGCCTTTTACAGTATTTACAGTATGACAGTATTTAAAATATATACTTTTAAGATTTAAATAACACTACAAGTGCACATTCAATATAATGAAGTGCACTTAGTTGTACACTTAAAAAATATTTTTTTACAAGAGTCTCTGTGTGACTCTCTCACAGAATTTCCGAAACGATCCCAAGCTTTTATTGAAGGGACTAAACGAGACGGTGAACTGGATTCTCATCCGCAGCAAGAAATTGAGCCTAAAACGAACTTACCATACACTGGTAAAACACACACACACACACACACACACACAAACTCTCACACACACACACACACACACACACACACACACACACACACACACACACACACACACACACACACACACACACACACACACTCACACACTCACTCACACACACTCACTCTCTCACACACACACACACACACACAGAGAGAGAGACACACACACACTCAGTGATTTCTGTCGTGTGTTTCAGAATCTTCAGGGCCGGTGGAGCTGGAGTTGATGAAGACTCTGAGGCCCGTGTCTCTCTCTCTGAACACTCTGGTGTTGATCTATCTATCTCTGTGAGTCTGATCATCTCAGTGTTTATTCTCTCTCTGTGAGTCTGATCATCTCAGTGTTTATTCTGTCTCTGTGAGTCTGATCATCTCAGTGTTTATTCTCTCTCTGTGAGTCTGATCATCTCAGTGTTTATTCTGTCTCTGTGAGTCTGATCATCTCAGTGTTTATTCTGTCTCTGTGAGTCTGATCATCTCAGTGTTTATTCTGTCTCTGTGAGTCTGATCATCTCAGTGTTTATTCTCTCTCTGTGAGTCTGATCATCTCAGTGTTTATTCTGTCTCTGTGAGTCTGATCATCTCAGTGTTTATTCTGTCTCTGTGAGTCTGATCATCTCAGTGTTTATTCTCTCTCTGTGAGTCTGATCATCTCAGTGTTTATTCTCTCTCTGTGAGTCTGATCATCTCAGTGTTTATTCTCTCTCTGTGAGTCTGATCATCTCAGTGTTTATTCTCTCTCTGTGAGTCTGATCATCTCAGTGTTTATTCTGTCTCTGTGAGTCTGATAATCTCAGTGTTTATTCTGTCTCTGTGAGTCTGATCATCTCAGTGTTTATTCTCTCTCTGTGACGCTGATCATCTCAGTGTTTATTCTCTCTCTGTGAGTCTGATCATCTCAGTGTTTATTCTGTCTCTGTGAGTCTGATCATCTCAGTGTTTATTCTCTCTCTGTGAGTCTGATCATCTCAGTGTTTATTCTCTCTCTGTGAGTCTGATCATCTCAGTGTTTATTCTCTCTCTGTGAGTCTGATCATCTCAGTGTTTATTCTCTCTCTGTGAGTCTGATCATCTCAGTGTTTATTCTCTCTGTGAGTCTGATCATCTCAGTGTTTATTCTCTCTCTGTGAGTCTGATCATCTCAGTGTTTATTCTCTCTCTGTGAGTCTGATCATCTCAGTGTTTATTCTCTCTCTGTGAGTCTGATCATCTCAGTGTTTATTCTCTCTCTGTGAGTCTGATCATCTCAGTGTTTATTCTCTCTCTGTGAGTCTGATCATCTCAGTGTTTATTCTCTCTCCATGAGTCTGATCATGTCAGTGTTTATTCTCTCTGTGAGTCTGATCATCTCAGTGTTTATTCTGTCTCTGTGAGTCTGATAATCTCAGTGTTTATTCTCTCTCTGTGAGTCTGATCATCTCAGTGTTTATTCTCTCTCTGTGAGTCTGATCATCTCAGTGTTTATTCTCTCTCTCTGTGAGTCTGATCATCTCAGTGTTTATTCTCTCTCTGTGAGTCTGATCATCTCAGTGTTTATTCTCTCTCTGTGAGTCTGATCACCTCAGTGTTTATTCTCTCTCCATGAGTCTGATCATCTCAGTGTTTATTCTCTCTCTGTGAGTCTGATCATCTCAGTGTTTATTCTGTCTCTGTGAGTCTGATAATCTCAGTGTTTATTCTGTCTCTGTGAGTCTGATCATCTCAGTGTTTATTCTCTCTCTGTGACGCTGATCATCTCAGTGTTTATTCTCTCTCTGTGAGTCTGATCATCTCAGTGTTTATTCTGTCTCTGTGAGTCTGATCATCTCAGTGTTTATTCTCTCTCTGTGAGTCTGATCATCTCAGTGTTTATTCTCTCTCTGTGAGTCTGATCATCTCAGTGTTTATTCTCTCTCTGTGAGTCTGATCATCTCAGTGTTTATTCTCTCTCTGTGAGTCTGATCATCTCAGTGTTTATTCTCTCTCTGTGAGTCTGATCATCTCAGTGTTTATTCTCTCTCTGTGAGTCTGATCATCTCAGTGTTTATTCTCTCTCTGTGAGTCTGATCATCTCAGTGTTTATTCTCTCTCCATGAGTCTGATCATGTCAGTGTTTATTCTCTCTGTGAGTCTGATCATCTCAGTGTTTATTCTGTCTCTGTGAGTCTGATCATCTCAGTGTTTATTCTCTCTCTGTGAGTCTGATCATCTTAGTGTTTATTCTGTCTCTGTGAGTCTGATCATCTCAGTGTTTATTCTGTCTCTGTGAGTCTGATCATCTCAGTGTTTATTTTGTCTCTGTGAGTCTGATCATCTCAGTGTTTATTCTCTCTCCATGAGTCTGATCATCTCAGTGTTTATTCTCTCTCTCTGTGAGTCTGATCATCTCAGTGTTTATTCTGTCTCCATGAGTCTGATCATCTCAGTGTTTATTCTCTCTCCATGAGTCTGATCATGTCAGTGTTTATTCTCTCTGTGAGTCTGATCATCTCAGTGTTTATTCTGTCTCTGTGAGTCTGATCATCTCAGTGTTTATTCTCTCTCTGTGAGTCTGATCATCTCAGTGTTTATTCTCTCTCTGTGAGTCTGATCATCTCAGTGTTTATTCTATCTCTGTGAGTCTGATCATCTCAGTGTTTATTCTGTCTCTGTGAGTCTGATCACCTCAGTGTTTATTCTCTCTCTGTGAGTCTGATCATCTCAGTGTTTATTCTCTCTCTGTGAGTCTGATCATCTCAGTGTTTATTCTCTCTCTGTGAGTCTGATCATCTCAGTGTTTATTCTCTCTCTCTGAGTCTGATCATCTCAGTGTTTATTCTCTCTCTCTGTGAGTCTGATCATCTCAGTGTTTATTCTCTCTCTGTGAGTCTGATCATCTCAGTGTTTATTCTATCTCTGTGAGTCTGATCATCTCAGTGTTTATTCTGTCTCTGTGAGTCTGATCACCTCAGTGTTTATTCTCTCTCTGTGAGTCTGATCATCTCAGTGTTTATTCTCTCTCTGTGAGTCTGATCATCTCAGTGTTTATTCTCTCTCTGTGAGTCTGATCATCTCAGTGTTTATTCTCTCTCTGTGAGTCTGATCATCTGTGTGTTTATTCTCTCTCTGTGAGTCTGATCATCTCAGTGTTTATTCTCTCTCTGTGAGTCTGATCATCTCAGTGTTTATTCTCTCTCTGTGAGTCTGATCTGATCATCTCAGTGTTTATTCTGTCTCTGTGAGTCTGATAATCTCAGTGTTTATTCTCTCTCTGTGAGTCTGATCATCTCAGTGTTTATTCTCTCTCTGTGAGTCTGATCATCTCAGTGTTTATTCTCTCTCTCTGTGAGTCTGATCATCTCAGTGTTTATTCTCTCTCTGTGAGTCTGATCATCTCAGTGTTTATTCTCTCTCTGTGAGTCTGATCATCTCAGTGTTTATTCTCTCTCTGTGAGTCTGATCATCTCCGTGTTTATTCTGTCTCTGTGAGTCTGATCATCTTAGTGTTTATTCTGTCTCTGTGAGTCTGATCATCTCAGTGTTTATTCTGTCTCTGTGAGTCTGATCATCTCAGTGTTTATTTTGTCTCTGTGAGTCTGATCATCTCAGTGTTTATTCTCTCTCCATGAGTCTGATCATCTCAGTGTTTATTCTCTCTCTCTGTGAGTCTGATCATCTCAGTGTTTATTCTGTCTCCATGAGTCTGATCATCTCAGTGTTTATTCTCTCTCCATGAGTCTGATCATGTCAGTGTTTATTCTCTCTGTGAGTCTGATCATCTCAGTGTTTATTCTGTCTCTGTGAGTCTGATCATCTCAGTGTTTATTCTCTCTCTGTGAGTCTGATCATCTCAGTGTTTATTCTCTCTCTGTGAGTCTGATCATCTCAGTGTTTATTCTATCTCTGTGAGTCTGATCATCTCAGTGTTTATTCTGTCTCTGTGAGTCTGATCACCTCAGTGTTTATTCTCTCTCTGTGATTCTGATCATCTCAGTGTTTATTCTCTCTCTGTGATTCTGATCATCTCAGTGTTTATTCTCTCTCTGTGAGTCTGATCATCTCAGTGTTTATTCTCTCTCTGTGAGTCTGATCATCTCAGTGTTTATTCTCTCTCTGTGAGTCTGATCATCTCAGTGTTTATTCTCTCTCTGTGAGTCTGATCATCTCAGTGTTTATTCTCTCTCCATGAGTCTGATCATGTCAGTGTTTATTCTCTCTGTGAGTCTGATCATCTCAGTGTTTATTCTGTCTCTGTGAGTCTGATCATCTCAGTGTTTATTCTCTCTCTGTGAGTCTGATCATCTTAGTGTTTATTCTGTCTCTGTGAGTCTGATCATCTCAGTGTTTATTCTGTCTCTGTGAGTCTGATCATCTCAGTGTTTATTTTGTCTCTGTGAGTCTGATCATCTCAGTGTTTATTCTCTCTCCATGAGTCTGATCATCTCAGTGTTTATTCTCTCTCTGTGAGTCTGATCATCTCAGTGTTTATTCTCTCTCTGTGAGTCTGATCATCTCAGTGTTTATTCTCTCTCTGTGAGTCTGATCATCTCAGTGTTTATTCTCTCTCTGTGAGTCTGATCATCTCAGTGTTTATTCTCTCTCTGTGAGTCTGATCATCTCAGTGTTTATTCTCTCTCTGTGAGTCTGATCATCTCAGTGTTTATTCTGTCTCTGTGAGTCTGATCACCTCAGTGTTTATTCTCTCTCTGTGAGTCTGATCATCTCAGTGTTTATTCTCTCTCTGTGAGTCTGATCATCTCAGTGTTTATTCTCTCTCTGTGAGTCTGATCATCTCAGTGTTTATTCTCTCTCTCTGAGTCTGATCATCTCAGTGTTTATTCTCTCTCTCTGTGAGTCTGATCATCTCAGTGTTTATTCTCTCTCTGTGAGTCTGATCATCTCAGTGTTTATTCTATCTCTGTGAGTCTGATCATCTCAGTGTTTATTCTGTCTCTGTGAGTCTGATCACCTCAGTGTTTATTCTCTCTCTGTGAGTCTGATCATCTCAGTGTTTATTCTCTCTCTGTGAGTCTGATCATCTCAGTGTTTATTCTCTCTCTGTGAGTCTGATCACCTCAGTGTTTATTCTCTCTCTGTGAGTCTGATCATCTCAGTGTTTATTCTCTCTCTGTGAGTCTGATCATCTCAGTGTTTATTCTCTCTCTGTGAGTCTGATCATCTCAGTGTTTATTCTCTCTCTGTGAGTCTGATCATCTCAGTGTTTATTCTCACTCTGTGATTCTGATCATCTCAGTGTTTATTCTCTCTCTGTGATTCTGATCATCTCAGTGTTTATTCTCACTCTGTGAGTCTGATCATCTCAGTGTTTATTCTCACTCTGTGAGTCTGATCATCTCCGTGTTTATTCTCTCTCTGTGAGTCTGATCATCTCAGTGTTTATTCTGTCTCTGTGAGTCTGATCATCTCAGTGTTTATTCTCTCTCTGTGAGTCTGATCATCTCAGTGTTTATTCTCTCTCTGTGAGTCTGATCATCTCAGTGTTTATTCTCTCTCTGTGAGTCTGATCATCTCAGTGTTTATTCTGTCTCTGTGAGTCTGATCATCTCAGTGTTTATTCTCTCTCTGTGAGTCTGATCATCTCAGTGTTTATTCTCTCTCTGTGAGTCTGATCATCTCAGTGTTTATTCTCTCTCTGTGAGTCTGATCATCTCAGTGTTTATTCTCTCTCTGTGAGTCTGATCATCTCAGTGTTTATTCTCTCTCTGTGAGTCTGATCATCTCAGTGTTTATTCTCTCTGTGAGTCTGATCATCTCAGTGTTTATTCTCTCTCTGTGAGTCTGATCATCTCAGTGTTTATTCTCTCTCTGTGAGTCTGATCATCTCAGTGTTTATTCTCTCTCTCTCTCTGTGAGTCTGATCATCTCAGTGTTTATTCTCTCTCTGTGAGTCTGATCATCTCAGTGTTTATTCTGTCTCTGTGAGTCTGATCATCTCAGTGTTTATTCTGTCTCTGTGAGTCTGATCATCTCAGTGTTTATTCTCTCTCTGTGAGTCTGATCATCTCAGTGTTTATTCTCTCTCCATGAGTCTGATCATCTCAGTGTTTATTCTCTCTCCGTGAGTCTGATCATCTCAGTGTTTATTCTCTCTCCATGAGTCTGATCATCTCAGTGTTTATTCTCTCTCTCTGTGAGTCTGATCATCTCAGTGTTTATTCTCTCTCCATGAGTCTGATCATCTCAGTGTTTATTCTCTCTCTGTGAGTCTGATCATCTCAGTGTTTATTCTCTCTCCGTGAGTCTGATCATCTCAGTGTTTATTCTCTCTCCATGAGTCTGATCATCTCAGTGTTTATTCTCTCTCTCTGTGAGTCTGATCATCTCAGTGTTTATTCTCTCTCCATGAGTCTGATCATCTCAGTGTTTATTCTCTCTCCATGAGTCTGATCATCTCAGTGTTTATTCTCTCTCTGTGAGTCTGATCATCTCAGTGTTTATTCTCTCTCTGTGAGTCTGATCACCTCAGTGTTTATTCTCTCTCCATGAGTCTGATCATCTCAGTGTTTATTCTCTCTCTGTGAGTCTGATCATCTCAGTGTTTATTCTCTCTCTGTGAGTCTGATCATCTCAGTGTTTATTCTGTCTCTGTGAGTCTGATCATCTCAGTGTTTATTCTGTCTCTGTGAGTCTGATCATCTCAGTGTTTATTCTCTCTCTGTGAGTCTGATCATCTCAGTGTTTATTCTCTCTCTGTGAGTCTGATCATCTCAGTGTTTATTCTCTCTCTCTCTCTGTGAGTCTGATCATCTCAGTGTTTATTCTCTCTCTGTGAGTCTGATCATCTCAGTGTTTATTCTGTCTCTGTGAGTCTGATCATCTCAGTGTTTATTCTCTCTCTGTGAGTCTGATCATCTCAGTGTTTATTCTGTCTCTGTGAGTCTGATCATCTCAGTGTTTATTCTGTCTCTGTGAGTCTGATCATCTCAGTGTTTATTCTGTCTCTGTGAGTCTGATCATCTCAGTGTTTATTCATCAGTCCAGCCTCTGAGCTTCATCTGCTCTTCATCTCTCAGGGTTTGTGTCCTGCTGTTGTCCTCCTGTTACATGGCCTTCAAGATCGTGTCTCTCGAGGAACGTCTGACATCTCTTGTGTCAATGGAGTTTCCCCATAAAAGGTATAGATGAAAATGATTTAATGGCTTTCATTCATCATAGCGGTTTTTTAAATTGCATACACACCAAAAGTTCATTCACTCATAATCTTCAGACCAAGTCTGCAAAACTGCAAGCACATTATATTCCTATAAGGTTGCATTTATAAAACAACTTTTTGCAAAACTCCCACAGTTCTTTACAGTAGACACTGTTTTCAAAACTAACAGCTCTTGTGTTCCATTTAGAAAATAAATGCCACACTTATTTTCCTCCTGTTGTGTGGCTTTGTGTGTAGAGTTTAGAGAAAAGGAGCCATGGTTTGAGAAATTGTATGTGAGCATTTTAAAAAACGGAAATTAAATTGTATTGTGAGTTATTTTGTCAAGCCCCAGCTAACAGGGAACATTCTCAGAGTGTTCAAAGTAGTCTCATCTTTAATAATGTTCTCAAAACGTTAGCATAAAAATATTATTTATACATAATTTATGCGATTTTCTGAAACGTTTTAGATGAGCTTTAGTTTTTTAAATGTTGCTACTTGTTTCAGAACATTCAGAGAACATTCAAAAGTAACGTTTTCATAACTTAATGGGAACGTTAGCGAAATGTTTTAGACAGCCACTTCATTATTAGCTCAATGTTATGCGCATTATTAGATCTGGAATAGAAATGCTCAGATGTACGTGTGGTTATGATTCCAGAGATGAATATCTGTCCTCTGGAGACACCGCTGAGATCTACTCGGTTCTTTCTGCAAATCTTCTAAAGCTGGAAAAGGTTTGTGTGCATGAACGTCTCAGATCTTAACCTGGTCTGTTTGTACCAGGACTGAGATTCAGGGTTTAAACAGATTTTCTTGTGAAGATAATATCACAAAACAGTTTTAGATGATCCCAGCTAACAAAAACATGTTCTAAGAACGTTTTGCTAAAGTCCAGTTGTTTAAATAATTTTTTTAAATTGTTTTTTTCTTGGTCACGCGAACGTTAAGGAAGCATTCCATTTGATCATTTCTCAGACATAACTTTGAACATTAACATTTCTGGAAGAATATTTTTTCATAACTTTGAGGGAACCTTAACAGAACATTCCCTGTTCGCTGGGCTCATTCCATAGTGATTATGATTATGAGTGATTATTGATTATGAGCTCTTATGAACAACACAATTATGCTTCTCCAGATTCATAGAAACCTGCAGAGACTGATGGAGAGCGTGTCTGATGTCTGACGGAAGATCGAGGCCAGTCACTGTCGGGATTTCAATGTGTTTATACTGTGAAAAAAAATCATCTTCATAAGCACAAGAAGTTACCGTTTTATGCAAACATTAGAATAACTGATCTCAGTAATGAAGTTAAACTTGAAATAAACATCAGCTGAGACTGTTTTCTCACAGGAATCTCACACATTCGACTGAAGTATATGAAAAAAAAAAGTATGAGATAAAATTATACGAATATTTGATACTTTGTATGAATAGACTGTACAGTATCCCAGCCGACAAAAACATGTTCTAAGAATGTTTTGATAAAGTTTCTGTGAAAATGTTATTTCTGAATGTTCAAACTCTCAGTTTTTAAACGTTTTTAAAATGTTTTTCTTGGTTATGTTAACGTTTTAGAAACATAAACGTTCCATTGTATCATTCTTCAAACATTATGGAACGTTACTTTTCAATGTTTGAACTCTGCAAACGTTATTAAACGTTGTATTAACGTTACTGGAAGAATGTTTGTTAATAACCAAAACGTTCCGTTAGCTGGGAATACGCTTGCTGAATCTCATCAGATCTTTAAGTAAGAGATGAATGAAAACTTGGTAACCCTTTATTTTACAGTGTCCTTGTTACATATGTTAAATGTACTTACCATAGTAATAACAGTAAATTATGCATAATTACATGCAACTAACCTTCAACCAAATCCTAACCCTACCCTAACCCTATAGTAAGTACATGTAGTTGCTTAATATTACTCAGTACTTAAATATATAATTACACTGTAACAATGACACCTTAAAATAAAGTGTAACCGACTGTATTATTCTAATTTGAGGTGAATAAAGTTTGTCAATGCAATGAATATTACGTTTTGATGTGATTTCACACGTCACTGATCAGGTGTAATAACTGCTCATGTGCGCTTGTCGTGATGATTGAGATTTAGATGATGCACGACTCGACAACATTTGAACCAACCTGAAGACTTTCACGGCGAAAACAAATCCCTGTTGCTTTTACTTGTCTAGATGATAACTGCGAAACTAATATGAAGAAAAACAGAGCGTCTGCATTACTGTCATGATGATGGCCAATAAGGTTCTGAGTAAAGTCACTGGGCTTATAAAGTTTTTAGCTAGAAATTCTACTTTTTTAGATAGGTCAACAATGATCATTTTAGCTAACGCTTTAATTTTAAACCAGTTTGAATATGCATGCACTTCCTGGTTTGAAGGCCTTAAAAAACGACTTAAAGGAAGGCTGCAAACAGCACAAAATAATTTAATAAGAATAATTCTAAACATGGGCCATAGGTCTCATATAGGAAGGTCACAATTTGTTGAGCTTAACTGGCTCCCTGTTGAGTCACGCGTTATTATGTCAAGACTGACCATGACCCACAAAATATTATATGGTAAAGTCCCAAATTATTTGTTGTGTCTTATTACCAAGGTGAAGGACACACACACTGTTTACACTCGTGGCAGTATATCAGACCTTTGTCCTTATGCATTTAAGACAATGTTAGGGAAAAAAACATTTACCTACATAGGGGCGGTTCAGTGGAACAAGTTAGATCGGCAAATTAAAGGAATTTTAAGCATCAATTCTTTTAAAAAGAGGGCCAGGGAGTGGTTATTAGAGAGGGTAGCGAAATAGAACCAGGAGCCAGTTACCATTTACAATTTTTCGTATTTAAAATCTTTTTTTTATATAGTATGTTGTGTTATTTGATTATCGCACAGTATGTAATTGTCCTGTCTTGACGTTATGTGTAGAGGACCACAATGGAAATAAGTCCTGGACTTTATTGTGTTTTAATCCTCGATTGTATTTTGATGCCTTTTGTTTTTTATGTTTTAGGCTTCTTGATATAATTAAATCAAATCAAATCAAATCAAGTCATGATCTTGTGTTCCCCTGGACTTGTGTTATCTCCTGTTTTGTAGTCCTTTGTAGTTTTTCTTGTTGATTAGATCCTGATTGGTCCCAGGTGTGTCTTGTTTGCCAATCAATCACCCCTTGTGTATAAAGCCCCAGTTTCTCATGTTCTTAGTCTGGTGTTGTCCTCTGTTGAGGTTCTCAGTTCTGCTCCCTGGTTTTCTCATGTTTATTTTGGTTTACTTTGTTTGTTATTATTTTAAAGTCCCCCAGTGGTGTAAATCCAGCGTTTAATGTTGTTTATGTGTCTATGTGGTGTGTTTAATACGCTTTAAGACACACCATGTGTAAGTTCATAAGTCGACAGCATTGCTGAGTATTTTCTGCTTAAAACTGCAGTGAACCAAAGACAGTCTCAAAAAAACGGTTTGAAATCGCTGGTGTTTCTGACGTCACAAACGACCTTGTAACCAATCAGATCAACGTGTGATCGTCAACCAGTGGATCTCTGAGCTGAGTGAGTGAGTGGAGGCGGGGCTCATTTGCATATTCATAGAACCGCGCATACTAAATGAGGCGAGGGTGTCGAGTTACATTCAAGATATTTTAAGACATAAAGGAATTTCTTTCAAGGCAAAAACATTTAAATATGTCATTTTGGTGATCAAAGATCATGACTTTGGCGAATCCTGATTTTCTTATTCTCATGAAACAATGTTGTTCTGAGGGTGGTGGTTTGCGAAGGATCTCTTTCAGTCCGGCACTGTAAAGAGTGAGACAGTGAAAGAGTGTGTTGTGTTCTATGCTAATGCGACTGAATGTCATCTCTCCTCTCCACAGAAAACGATTGTTTCTCTCTGAGCTGGAATGAGGACGAGTGACGAGCTCGGGGGAGTTTGATGCTTTCAGCGCCCAAACAGCCTGAAAATACTTGACTTTGAGTTCACTTCTTTATTTGCCCATGGAGATTTCAGATTTAAATGTATATGAGAATTGCACATTATAATCTGTTTTTTTTTTCTTTCTCTGTTTAATCACTCTTTGCATTAAAAAAAAACTATTTTCAGAACAAATATATTCCCTCCCACGAGTCCCATCTAACAGGGACCGTTCTCACAACTTTGACTCATTCAATGTTATCTGGTCTTTAATAGGCTAATGTTCTCAAAACGTAAACGTCATTCATGGAACGTTTTTCTAAAGTTGGACGTTGGTCACACGTTTTTTAAATATTACTAATTGTTTCAGAACGTTCAAAGACCATTTGAAAGTAATACTTGCAAAATTATAAAAAAACGTTCTGATAACTTTCTATAATAATCTCTAACGTTCGCATGACCAAGAAAAAAAGTTTAGTTTAAAAAATATATATATATTCAAATGTTATAATATATAAAAACACGTTTTAATATAAAAATAACTTTTTCATAACTTTTTATATAATTTGTGTTCGCTGGAAGCTCATAAAACATGTTTAATTACAGAAAAAAAATGTACTGTGTTTTTAAGGTTTTAGATATAAACATTGTTTGTCATATAATAGGCTGTCAAAAAACACAATCGCAAGTAAAACAATTAATTAGACGCATAAGAACGAAAATGCGCTTGAATGAAACTAAACGCGTCTGTGTTTCTGCTCGAGACGCACGAAAAAACATCAATGAAAACATCACAGAAATATATCACATTTTATTGGAGCCTCATCCTCAAAAGGCTACTTCACGGATTTGCCCTGAATATATGCCGCTTTTTAACATCTGAGCCCCTGAAGAACTCTCTGCACGTCCCTGTCCTCAACACTTCGGATTTGCACTGTTTCTGTTTTGCATGAACAAAAGCCAAGTGTAAGTCAAAGAGCGAACAGCTGAAACTCTCTCCTGTCAATCACGGTCACGAGTGTCGTCACGTCTGTCAGATTATAACCGGGTCCGTTACCTGCCGCGCGCCTCGTGATTCTCCATCTCCATCATCTTCATCACCATCATCATCATGTCGGATCAGCCCTCGTCTCCTCCAGCCGGACAGAAGCCCTCGCTCCGGGCCCCGGGATCCTCTCAGAGCCGCTTCCAGGTGGACCCGGTGGACCCGCTGGACCCTGTGGCGGAGGGGTCGGAGTCCAAGGGCCGGTTCCGGGTGGTGAACTTCCTCAGCCCGCCTGACTCCGCTCCTGAAGCCGGTGTGAACGGGGACACGGTGAGGAGCGAGGCTTCCACCGGAGGACTCAGTCATTTCTCAGACACACACTCCAGCACTTATTACCTGCGGACCTTCGGACACAACACCATCGACGCGGTGCCGAACATCGACTTCTACCGGCAGACCGAAGCTCCTC